GGAAAGTATAGTCTCGTGTGTGTGTGTGTGTGTGTGTGTGTGTGTGTGTGTGTGTGTGTGTGTGTGTGTGAAAGAGCTGGCCATGCCTTTGGGAGACCCAAGAATGGCTCTTTCCTTGTGCCCTCAGGTACAAATTAGCCAATAGGGGGAAGGAGGGAATGAGCCCTAGAGCCGTGCTGCCAAGAGCGGGTAGCTTCACCCTACAAAAGGGCAAGTGGCTCACGCCCCCGGGTACTAGAGAGCTCAGGTAGGGATTCTAATCACAACAGTTCCTGCCATGCACTGTTCTGCCCCAAACGCTGATCCATAGCTTAATGTCACAAAAAGGCACCCATTGACATCAGTCCACTTTGTGTCAGGCCCTGAATTGCCAATATGGCTGAATTAATGTTACTGCGAAATCATGGGGTTTTTTTGTGTGTCTTGAGTTTTGTAACCTCAATGTGGCATTAATCTCCCCCCACCCGATAATTATATTTGTACCAGGGACGGGACTTGCGGAGTCCGAGAGCTTGCTAACCTGCAGGACTTCTCCTGTAATTTAAACCCGTGTTTCCTGGGTGATTCCATTAAAATTAATGGTTTTATACCCCTAATGAAAGCCTGTGCTGTAGTCATGGACTTGTGTGTAACAGCCAGTAATGAGAAAATTTGCTTTGACTAACTTCATCCTCATTCAAACACTGTGGGCTCAGAAGTTCAGTTGCCGCATATCAGGTTATCAGGGTCAAGTTTGGCTCAGAAGAGATGGTGAGGAAAGGAGCTGAGGGAGGAAAAGGAAATAGATGCAGTAGATAATGTATAGCCCACCCATTTGGGCTAGCCTAATTCCTTGGGATGGGAGGAAGTATTCTAGCCTTAATCCATAGTATAGTATCAGAGGGGTAGCCGTTTTAGTCTGTATTCACAAAAACAACAGAGAGTCCGGTGGCACCTTAAAGACTAACAGATTTATTTGGGCATAAGCTTTCGTGGATAAAAGACCACTTATTCTGATGCATGGAGTGAAAATTACAGATACAGGGATAAATATACTTGCACATGAAGAGAAGGGAGTTACCTTACAAGTGGAGAACAAGTGATGACAAGGCCAATTCAGTCAGGGTGGATGTGGTCCACTCCCGATAATTGATGAGGAGGTATCAATACCATGGGATAGAAAATTGCTTTTGTAGTGAGCCAGCCACTCCCAGTCCCTATTCAAGCCCAAATTGATGGTGTTAAGTTTTCAAATGATTTGTAGTTCTGCAGTTTCTCTTTGAAGTCTGTTTTTGAAGTTTTTTTTTATTGCAGGACAGCTACTTTTAAATCTGTTATTGAATGTCCAGGGAGATTGAAGTGTTCTCCTACTGGCTTTTGTATGTTACCATCCTTGATGTCTGATTTATGTCCATTTATTCTTTTACAGAGAGATTGTCTGGTTTGGCCAGTGTACATGGCAGAGTGGCATTGCTGGCACATGATGGCATATTATCACATTAGTAGATGTGCAGGTGAATGAGCCCCTGATGGTGTGGCTGATATGGTTGGGTCCTATGATGGTGTCGCTGCAGTAGATATGGGGACAGAGATGGCAACAGGGTTTGTTACGGGGATTGGTTCCTGGGTTGGTGTTATTGTGGTGTGGTGTGTAGTTGCTGGTGAGTATTTGCTTCAGGTTGGGGGCTGTCTGTAAGTGAGGACTGGCCTGTCTTCCAAGGTCTGTGAGAGTAAGGGAGCATTTTCCAGGATAGGTTGTAGATAGTTGATGATGTGCTGGAGAGGTTTTAGCTGGGGACTGTAGGTGATGGCCAGTGGTGTTCTGTTAGTATAGTATAGGATTCTCTTTAAGTACAATCTATCTTCCTCCCCCTGCTGTTGTGAGTCCCTCTGTTGTATGTATATAATTTTCCTCTGCTTAGCATGGAGGTGAGATGCTGTCACTTCCACTCCCACATTCCATATGTGTGTTTAAGGGTCTTTCACTTCACAGACTATCCGGTCTGTGTTGGCTCAGGGATTGGTGGGGGGCATTGCTACAGTCTTTTACAGGAACTGTTGAATTTTACAACACAGTGAGTGTGGGCAAGATCAGTTTGTCTTTCAGTTATTGATGGACTGAAACAGTCTTAAAATTCCACCAAGTATTTCCATGTACTCTGCAATAGCTCAACCAAAGCTGAAGGTGTTTCCTCGAGACTTTCCCCACCACCCAATGAATTGCATCTAGGCTCGATATATCTTTAGTATCCAACAAACCTTATCAGTGTTTTAGTAGAAAGGTTCTTCTTCCCTAGGCAAACCAGCACTCTTCCTCCCTCACTGGCTTCTAGTCACCCAAAGCAAAGTAGGTACAGCAGCTCAAATTTTCAGAAGTTGTCTAATTTTGGTGGTCCCAACTTGAGGCACATACGGCCTGGGTTTCAGAGGTGCTGAGCAATTGCAGCTTCTGTTGACTCCAGTTAGACTTGTGGCATAGTCAACACTTCTGGAAATCAGTCTCCAATTGGGACCACCAAAACTAGAGGGCAATCATGACCGTTAAAAACTGGGTGTTTGGCTGCCTCTACTAATTTGCTAACTTAAGTAACTGCTCGTTCAGATTTCCTTGTAGAACCCTCTCTGATGATCAGTTAATCACACTGATCTGCTCAGAATGTCAGCTCAATAAATAGTTAACAGTTTGTTAAAGACCATTTAGGTTTGTGTGTGTTTGTTTGTTTTTTTCCAAAAAGTCCAACTGAGCAAAGTTCTTCCTACTTTTTATCTGACATCCTGTTTATTTCTCTTTTGTTTTATAGATAATTGCGATGATGCACTAGTATCCTCATTGCCTCTGACCGCCTTTGACAGCTCCTCAGAGCTCTTCAGCGTTCACAATCCCAGCTTCGCCAAGCTCAACAGACGGGATGGTAAGGTCACTGGGTGAAATGCCCATGACAGTTTTTACTACAGCTTTTGTGAATAATTCATTTGGGTAGAAGCTTGTGGAGTATTTAGCGCCTGCTTGCCTGGAATCATCTCTTACAATCTGAGGTGCATTGTTAGTTGAAAATAGCTCATTAATGTTTGGGGAAAGCCCCAAATGCAGTGGAAATTTACTGCTGATGCTTAAGGCCTCTCAAGTGGAAGTTCAGGTAAACTCCATTAGTTTCTTTTCTTTCTACTATAGGTCCTGTAGTCCCAGGACAAAGTAGCCTGTTAAATCTGCTGCACTGTTCCCAAATTTAGTTCTCCAGTAGCAATCCGCTTTCTTTCTTTCTTTCTTTGTATTGTCATTGCACGTAGGAACCCTAGTCATGGGTCAGGACCCCAGTCAATTAGGCTTAGAAGCGCCATTGGAAATTCCAGTGGAGAAGAATAGATTCACAGCTCTTTGCCCTGCAGAGGTGACCTTCTCTTCAGGTCTCCACCCTGAAGCATGGATTGGGAAGTGAGGATTGTCCTGAGGTATGGCTAGTGGGTTTAAACACAGTGGGAATCCATAAGGACCAAACTCCATGTTACTAGGGAGAAGCAGGCTACCTCTGTGACTAACCCTAAACCCTAATCTTCTGCAGTTCTCCAGATTTGTATTTGCTATATGGGTTAGCACTACCCTGAGTCACATTCTGTGGTGTGGCTTCCCCCCTACTGGCTACTGTCCTTAGACTAAAGCCCCTTGACTTGGTCTTGGTTCCAATTTTCAGGGGGTAGTCTTATAAGAAAGGAGACCTTTATGGAAAAGAAATAAGGTTCATTTTTCTTTCTGAAAAATAGCAAGCCGGAGATTTCTGTCCTATACCAAACCATGTTTATCTGGCTCTCTTCAGAGTAGCTTTACAAGGACGCCTACTTGGATGCACTGTACTAGCTGCCATAAAAGGTTTTAGCAGTATATACAGATGTTCAGAGATTGGAGAGGTATTAAATGGAAGTGAAATGTCTCAACTTTGACTCAGTGAGAGTGTCTCTCAATAAATAGCTGGAAAGGAAGTTGTGTGGCAGTTGCCCAACGTATACAAGGTTGAAGAATCCACTCAGCAAAAAGCCAGACGTCAATCTGGCAAGGAACCTTGAGTGTTGGGTCTTGTTTCCCTACTGTCTAGCCTCTCTGAGCACAGCATTGACCTTTCAGGCTCCCCAGTACTTAAACACACCCCTCTGCCAACCCCTATCCCCCCCAAAAAACTAAACAAAAAACATGTGACGATTCTGGTTTAAAGTTTTCCATCAGGGACATGCAGTAGCTGTGAGGCAGTACGGACACACACACACTTTGTTCAGTCTATGATTTTATGCTCTTTTACTTACAAAACAATAAAACATCCTAAACACAATGTCCCTTGCTAGGTCCTCCTTCCCTTGGGGAGTCATTTCCGTTGCATCAGGTGAGCAGGCAGGGTCCTCCACCACCCTGTCTACACTGCCCCTTCCGCACCCTCTCTCATCTTAATCTGGTGCAAAATGGCTCTCTCACCAGCTCCTCCTGGGAGTCCTTTTATAGACTCTTGCTGGGGTCACCTGTTCTTTTGTTCTGCCTTATGTTTTAGTTATGTTCCTGAAAAATGCTACTTTAAGCGAATCCAATTTCCCCATAAGAATTAATGTAATTGGGGACAGGGGCTAGGTTCCAGGGACTTTTTTTTCATCACACAATATATATATATATATGTGTGTGTGTGTGTGTGTGTGTGTGTGTGTGTGTGTGTATATATATATATATGTGTGTGTGTGTGTTTTAAACAAAGCATTTAATACTGCATACTGCAATGATGATTGTGAAGCTTGGTTGAGGTGGTGGAGTCAGAGGGTGGGATATTTCCCAGGGAATGCCTTGCTGCTAAATGATGAACTAGCACTTGGCTGAGCTCTCAGGGGTTAACACGTTGTTAATGTAACCTCACACACTACAAGGCAGCATGAATGGAGGGAGGAGACACAATAGATGCGTGCCAGTGGCTGCAAACATTTCCTGCAGAAACTGAACGTGATGATGAACCCACGCTATCCCACTCGAAAGTACCATTCCCTCCACCTTCCAAAGTGCTGGTGGTGCATGTGTTTGTGAGACAGACACCCACACTGTGTGTGTGTGTGAGAGAGAGAGAGAGAGACACACACACACACACACAAACCATGGGTGTGAGAGAGAAACAGAAAGAGACACACACCATGCATGTGAGAGAGAGACACATGCCATTTGTATATGTGTGAGAGAGAGATGCGCATTGCCCCTTTAAGTACGCTGAGCCCACTCTAAATACATTGCCTTTTTAAGTAGATCAGCAAGTTGAGACAGCAGCTGCAGCCAGCAAGCTCCCTCCCTTCTGAGCCCTGTCGTGTCTCTGCCCTGCTCTGTGGAGATGGGGGGCAGGAGCGGGTGGAGGCGGACATCCTGACATTAGCACCCCTCTTTCCCCCTGCACAGCAAGCAGGAGGCTCCCGGGAACAACTCCAAGGCAGAGGGCAAGAGCAGCACACGGTAGTGCGGCGAGGGACAGCTGAACTGCCCTACAATTGATAGCCTGCTGGGCAGCTGCCGCACAGGGAAGTTAGGGGAGCGGGGAGCTGCTGGGGGGCTGCTGGTCCACCGTATCTCCAAGCCCCCACCAGCTTGCTCCAACTGGCTGCTTTTCCTGCAAGCAGTGGACAATGCAGGTTGCTGCCAAACAACATTATGTGGGAGCATTACGTAACTTTAAACAAGCATGTTCCCTAATTGATCAGTGACATAACAATGAAATAACGTTAACTGGGATGATGTTAAGTGAGGAGTCACTTTAATTGTCCATTACTCCCATCCCTACCCTTCAGACAAGAGGAGGAAGCATCTTCTCTCAGGTGTAGCAAACCTATTGTCCCAAAGTGTTTTGCTTTGAATATTGCAGTGTTGTTGTAACTGCGTTGGTCCCTGGATATGAGAGACACCAGTGGGTGAGGTAATATCTTTTATTGAGCCAACTTTTTCACACGATCATTGAGTGCTGATCCTTGGCCATTGTCTCTGACCTGGCAAAGACATAACACAGCCCTGCTAACACAAGTGGGATCCACATACATATAGACTGAATGTGACACAGTAATTTCATGACACAATTTCATAACCTCATCCACAATTCAGAAGTGGTGCAGGCACAACCCGAGTTCCACACAAGGGATGTGGAGGGAGGGGAGGCCTTACCTCCACCTCCCTCCCCCACTCACCAGCCAGAGTCGCTGGCCAGGCGTATTGGGGAATAAGATACTCTGTGAAATGGGATGAAGTCGTTCATTCCTCCTCCAGAATGAGGGGCCAACAGGGGAAGGATTGTGCTTCTCTGAGCCGCAATTGGTTCTGAGTCTGCCCCAGTGTGGTGTAGCTACACTCTTGTCATTACTTGAGGCAGATTTGAAGTTAGGGTAATGATATTTAAACTGAACCACCTTAAATGGGATTCTTAGCTGAGGCAGGAAATAGAGCTGTGTTAAAAATACATGATGCTGAATATTTGGAGGCATCAGTTCAGCTCTAATTAGACCTACAGTGTAACATCATGAAAACCACCCTCCTCATAGGCACAGTTCTTGGTGATAGCAAAAGAGAGAGCATGTGAAATTCACTCTTGAGTAAAAGTCCTGTCCAGGGCCTATGAAAAACATAAATCTCATTTTTGAAAGCTTACATGGGGCTTATGATGTTGTTGTTGTTAGTCCATGAGGTGTGATCCCTGCACAGGGGTGAATTTCACCTGAATGAAGAACATAGAGGCTGGGAGCTGCCCTTGGTCATATCTATACTATTTGACTGCCTTCCACAGAATTGTACATGTGTAACAGAGAGCAGAATTTAGCACAGAGACTAAACTAAATTCCTATCCCAGGGCGGAGGAGCTTGTTCCACCAGTGCGCATAAACTGTACCATGGTTATTATTTACAAAGATAACATCCCCCCACAGGTACTGCATCACGATTTCCTAATCCTTTGGGCCAGATCCAAAGCTGAGGTAAATATAGGTGTACCCCCACAGCTGAGGTAAATAGAGGTGTACCCCCACAGCTGAGGTAAATAGAGGTGTACTCATTGTAATCCATAGAGCTACACTTATTTATACTGACTGATGATCTGGCTCCTTATATTTAGGATCAAAACTATTTGTTCATAGAAAGTTACTGTAGGTAAAGGTTGAGTTTATGATGGTGACCACTGAAACAATCTATGAACAAAACCACAGGACTTCAGTTTCTAGAAACATAGATTTATTTAACAATTTCCCCCCCCCTCCCCTTTGGATAAATACCTGCAATATAAAGGATTACATAGAATTCTATCTATCACACTATAGTTCTTGTAAAAATAAGCATATATCATGCATTTCAAATTAACTACAGGTACTCAGAGTAGCAAGGAACAGTGTTTCAATATGCACATGTATTTAATAGCAGCCTGATTAATGTATTTTAATGCAAAGAGGCACGCAACTTATGGAAACAAAGTGTGACCCAGATCTACATTAGCAGAAAGCTTGTAAAATTGTCAACGTGGTACTGTAATAGACAACAATAAATTGAAGGCTGTTGAATAAATAGCAAAAGGCTGTTTTTAAAAAGACTTGCAGAACTGAAATGTTACAGTAAAAATCCCTGGTTAAAATGGCTTTTTTTCGTGATGGAGTTCAATCCAAATGTTAATTGAGTGAAGGGGCTCAATCCAAATACTGCTAACGCTATGTTGGATCTACTAAAGTAGTCCATATAATTCTGATCCATAGAATTCTGGTAAATCTGATTTCTGGAACGGATTTAACAAATTGAAATTTTGTTTACCATAAACAAATAAATAGATGAAAAGGAACTAATTGCTAAAATAAAACTAGGCTTCCTCAGATCCCCATAAACTCTCCACCTGAGCGCTCAATGTAGATAATTGTAGCTTAGAAGAAATATATATATTTTTTTCGTCAAATGTGATTTGTTTTAGGGCAGGTGGTTTGATCTGGGCATGAAAGTAAGGCTGTGCAGCAGGGAAGCACTTACTTTCAGCAGGAAGTCGGAGAGTTTTCAGCACAATATAAAGCCCGCTGAGCTGCTTGCAAGATGCTCAAGACAGAGGGCGAGCATTTGTGTGACTTTATATTAATAAAACCCCGTAATAAGTACAGACATCCTAAGCAGCTCCATGTAAAATAAAGAAAACAAAACAAAAAACCACACTGATTGCAGAACGCTGGGGTTTTTAAAGTGTCGTTTTCACAAATAATTTTTTTACAATTTGTACATTTTGCTGGATTTGTTCTTTTCAGTTTATTTTTGGGACTCCAGCCTGGGAACCATATGATCTTACAGCCTGTGTGTCTCTAGCATTATAATTTGTTGCCATGGAGAACATGAGCTCATGTATCAGGCGCCTTTGGCACCGAGGCCGATGAGAGACCCTTTTCCCCTAGCCCTTTCTGCTCACCTCCAACTTGTGATGAACGATAGAGAAATAATGCCGGAGCTGTGCAGAAACAAGCAGATCGGCATATACTCTTTCCTCCAACACGTGCACAGAACTCCCATCAAAGCCAATGGGAGTTGGGCAGGAGGAATGGGGGAAGAATATCCCTCTTAGCTATGATGCTAAACTACTAAGCCCATGGAAAGTTCATTAATCATCTCATCCTTCTAATTTTAATATGGGAGACGTGGTGATCTCATGCATATTTTACCACTTTAGAGAGCGCCATCAAAGAATGTCTAAATAGACCGGGTGTAATAAATGCCACATTCTGTCTGGTTTATAATTACCCGGCCCTCTTAATAAAAGAGATTCATCTAAACACGCCTGCAGCACAGTTCGCAGTGGAGTTTTAACCCCCTCGCCTCATATTTCATCCCCCACGTTGCAGAGCATGCTTTACAGTCTTCTTTAATTTTCTTGTGCATAACTGCTGGCATCTGCTCCCTGGAGTGGATGTGTCACAAGAGAGTGGCAGACCAGATGGCAGAAGAGGAAGTGCCACACGCCAAATGTGCCTATGAATTATATATTTCAATAGGCGGGAGCGGGGAGAATTCCCCAGTGAATAATGTGGGGAATAGAAATGTACATGCATAGCCTTTCTGGCAGTGCCTGGCAATCTGTCTTCAGGCCACTCACGTATATAGCTGCTGCTTGCTTTCAGGAAGAAAGACAATATTTACCTTGGCAACCCCTGCACCACTTGATATATATATTTGGGCTGCCTGGACCTTGGTTCCAGCCCTGCAGGAGAAAGCAGGTACGGTGAGCCTGCCTATTCCTTAACTGGAGCAGGTGAGTGGGGAGAGGCCGGGAAACGCTTTGGGTCTGCCCCAGTGCAGGGGCGTCGTAATTTGCTGTTGCTACAGGTCAGCAGCAAATTACTACCTGCCTGGAACAAGGAGAAAGCCGTGAGGGAATTCCTTGTCTGAGGCGCGGTGCTTTCTGGGACAGCTCCGAGGATGGTGTGCGGAGCAGCTGCTGGTGTGTCAAGAAGCGGGGGTGTAGTGGCAAAGACCATTTTGGAAAGCAGGGTTCTGGATGGCACGGGTCAGAACAGAGTGACAGGCTGGAGCTGCGGGACCGCTCTTGTGGCTGTGTTTTTACAAATCGGTCAGCGATGCTGAAGTCTTGAGGATGCCATCCCCTCCAGAAGCAGTGCTGGGCTGGGAGGTTGCTGCTTCTTAGTGCTGTGTGGTGGCTTCTCTGTTGTGAGCTATCTTGTTGTTGCTGCTTGTGTGCTTGTAAAGAGGAGACCAGCAGGCTGAGCTGAGCTGAATACTGAGTGTGTAAGTGTGTGTAAGGAAGTAAGCCTTGAGAGCACATAAGAGAGCAGATAAGCATAAGTGTGCATGTCTCAGTCAGAGGAATATATACACTTCTTTGTCCATATACTCACTGGAATGGGGGAAGATGCTCCTCTTTCAGAGAGATGTCTGAATTCGGTTATCAGCCCCTGTCACCTTTTATGGGCTCAGCATCTTCCTGGGATGGTCTTGGTAGCATTTTCCACTCCTGATTGTGCAATGTGCTAATGCATATGCAGCAGGCTTGTAATTGTTCTTCAAAGGTATGGTTGTATTGCTCTTGTCTTCATGGCCGGAAATCCTCAGAACGTCTTCAAAGTTAGTTTTCACTCTTTTTGTTATTCGGTTCGTTTTCCTAGATACTCTTTTAGTTCCATGAGCATTTAATAGGAGTTGAAATTGTTTCTTTTGGGGCCACATGAAAGTCTTTCAGCTCTTAAAATAGTCTTTATGAAATTTAAATGATTATGAAAGCGTCTTTAAACTTAAATGTTCATCAAAGAAGATATTAGCTTTTCTTCTTACCATTCTTGGAGAGTTTCTTCTTGTCTTTCACATTTGCTAAGGAATTGCTTAAGCATTGCCAGATAGCAAATTAATTCCCAATTAATATAAATATTGTTATACTAAAATTGCTTCTTTCATTAGTAACTGGTGACCACATCAAATGACCTTGTTATATTTGTACCTAAAACATCTTACTGTTCATATAACAATGGTATCAGGAAGTTATATGAATGGCTTGCATTCAGATACCAAATATTTGTGAATGAGCATGTCAGTGGAAGCCTGTACCATCTTGAAAACAATGCTTTTACGAGTAAATATGGGTTTAAAAAACCCAATACCTTCTGTAAAACATTTCTAACCATAAACACTCTAATTAAAGTGTAAAGAATAGAGACTATATGGTGTTTATAAAGAAATCCATTCCAGTAAGGATATTTCTAGAAATTTTTGTGGGGGCTTAAAAGTGAAGGTTTTTCTTTTTCCTAAGAGTCCAATTTTTATGATTTAGTTTATTGCTTTGCTAACACATCCATAAGTATCAATCCTCTTTGGAATATCCTGAATAAAGAACATACTTGCATTTTTACACAACCAGATCTCTTTGTAATACATCAATATCTTGTTCTTTGAGAAGGCCCTCTTGTTGGTTGGTTGAGTTTTGACCAAATTATCTCTACTTTTACAACCTAAGATTTGTAGTATATTTACAACTTGCAATTAAAGATTGCAATCAAGTATTCTATACAAGGTACAAATCACAGTAGCTAACTCTTATGTGCATCTTTCAAACCTTGCTATAAAAGAAAATAGAAGAGAATGTTAAAACAGGGACTATAAAGCTGCATCCCAGAATCTGTACAAATACACGTTGCGGTAATAAATGGATTTTTATGACTAAGAAGATGTAATCCTCTTTTTTTGTAGTGTGGTGACTGTCACTGGTTGACAGAAAGCAGAGATTGCCTGGGAATTTCCTTATTTAATGTGGAATTTTTATTTAATTAAATAAGCAATCATAAACACGTGAGCTATTATATTTGCCAACCATCCTATATATGAAAATAATTTTAAATTTCAGTAAAATTGGGGCAAGTTTGTAATAAAATTAAAATTCTAAGATTAAATGAGTTTTTTATTCATAACCATTTGGGTGCCAATGTTGAACTCCTAAGCCACCTCTCTCTGATCTCTCCTAGGAGCTGGTGGTTGGTCCCCATTGGAATCTAATCCGAAACAATGGCTTCAGATTGATCTGGGAGACAGAGCTGAGATTACAGCAGTCGCCACCCAAGGCAGGTACGGAAGCTCTGACTGGATAACAAGCTACATTCTAATGTTCAGCGATACAGGACGCAACTGGAAGCAGTACAGACAAGAAGACGGGATCTGGGTATGTCTAAACTTTTTTTTCCGTCCAGATCAGTTGTTACAATTGAACTTGGCAAGTTCCAGGCAGACTTGGCCCGTGGTGTTTAGCTTCAGATTAGTTTGGGGTTTGAACAAAACAAAAGTTTTTTTTTTTTATTTTAACAAGTTCTTACTTTGGAATAGATTTGGAAGCAGAATGGTTTAGCGGTGAGACCGGGGACTCCAACACACAATGACTATTCTAATCCCCATTAGACCACTGATTCTCTGTGTCACGTTGCATTATGGACTGACGGCTAGATTGTGCTTCAGGCTACATGAACACGCAGGGAAGTGAGACTCTTCCTTATGCTTTTGTGCACGGTGGACTTTGCAGTTGGGTTACGTTGGGGTAAGTGGAGCAACCAGCCTTCAGAATCCCTGCCGAGAGCAGGTGGGCAGGCAGTGAGCAAAGTCTTGGCTATCTGCCCCACTCGGGCTTGCTGGCCAGAGCAGCTGAGCCAGTGTGGGAATGGGTAGTAATATGTTCCCAGTATAGGAGGAGCCAGGTATGTCTGAGATACAGTAACTTTAAGGGTTGCTCCCGAGCAGCTGTATTTTAGGCACAGTCTTGCGCACGCAGCAGTGCCTAAAGTCAGATTCGAGCCTTCAGACTTGCTGTACCTCAAGCTAAATGCTTGAATATATCTGGTGCCCTGTTAAATTAATGAAACCAGCGTAGAGGCTATTAGTTAAATGAAGTAAAATCTCACCAGAAACACCAATACGAAGTAAAATATTGCCTGGAAAAGTAGAAAGGACTTTGCAAAAATCCTTCCGGTCATATATAAATATTTGTCTAAACTATTATATATGGTTTTTCCTTTTCCTTGCTATACCATTCATTTGTGGGATCAATGTCCTATATAGTACTACAATGTGTGCTGATGCTCAGTAAAATATATTCTGAAAATAAAGGATAAAATTAAGATATGTGATGAGTGAACTTCAAAAGTTCAGATACACATCTCAGCTTCTTTGGAACATTTTGCTGAAGGAAAAATTTTTAAATTTCACAAGAGCAGGTTACTCCAGGAGATTTCCAGAATTTGGAGATTACAGATGAGCAGGGCTGCAGTAATAACAGTGTTTTGTCTGTATTTCACTTCCACTTTTGGATAAATCCCAGGAAATACAGAAGCATGCACAACATTAAAAGAAAGAAAAAGGTTAACCAAACTGTCTCCCATTCTCATTTGCACTGCTGTTTCACTGTGTGACTTGGAGAAAGTGACTTATGCTCTCTGAGCTTTCAGTTAGAAAATCTATAAACAAAAGATGGGCTTAAAATTTAGGCCTGATTCTCCTCTCACAATTACATAAATCAAGAAGACTCCATTCAAATCAATTAAACCACTCCTATTAAAGTGGAGTGAATGAAGTGCAGGGACCATTTGCAAAATTCAGCTTTTGATCTAGGTGTGGACTTTGAACACTGAAAGATTCGGGTCCAATGTTTGAACCTTCTGAAGTTTGTCCAAGAATCCAAAATTATTCAATGTTTCCTGACCTCCTACTGCTGGTTCTGTATTATAAAGAGTTATTTTTCATAAGTGTAAATTAATTTGCATTTCAAGAAATGATTTTTTTTCAAAACATGACTTGTTAGGACTGAACTTCCCTCCTTTTCAAAAACTTAGAACCAGTTTTTCCTTTAGTAAAGTTTTCTTCTAAAAGAGGAACTTAAAAGACAACTGGTAAAATTTACAGTAGCAAATCTTCATGCCCTAAGGATCCAATTTAGAGAGTTTCTGATCTGGCACTGAGTCTTGCGTACCACAATAAGAATATGCCCGGCAGGCATTTAGCAGTAGATCAGGATTTATGAAAGAGCTGAACTCTTCCACATTGCTAAATAATCAGGCGTGAAGGTGCTTCTAGGAAAAACCTTGTGACACAACTTCCAAAGCCTCAGTAGGTCTGCAGACTTCCTATTTGAAGAGGAATGTTATAAAGTTTTGTGGTGCAAACAATTTTAGAACAAATATGAGATTATTTTTATAGCAATGGAAATGTGAAATAGAATTTGGGTAAGACGAAGAAAATGGTCCTGGTATTTTCTTGCTGCATGATAGCTTCCTAAACTCAAATGTTTATGATGTGACACCCAGCGATGCAGGTTTAGGTCCCCATATCCAGGGTATAAGGTGAAATTCAGGTTAAGTTACAGCTTCACCAAACTTTGTTTGAACAAGAGCTATACAAAATACACAAAATAAAAATTGAAATGATATGAAACATGTTTGGTTTGCCATTTCATTAGACTCAACATTCAGCCTTGCTTAATAAAAAATCTCACTAAGGTTCAAGAACTTTTACAACTTCAGGTAGAAATAGTGAAATCCAGCAATATTTTTGCATGATTTTGATCCCAATTCAAGTGAAACTTGGTGATTGGGGTTGCGTTTCTCCTTGAGTGTTTCGGTTGTTTATACTGTAAACTCAAGGAGCATGAACCCTGCAGAAACTGAAACCCAAAAGAGGTTATGACAAATGCGGGAGACAGTCTGATCTAATTTAGGCTCTGTTCTCAGAGTCTCTTATGGGTCTGGGTAAGCATAGAATCATAGGACTGGAAGGGGCCTGGAGAGGTCTTCTAGTCCAGTCCCCTACACTCAAGGCAGGACTTAGGCTATGTCTGCACTAGAGACTTTACTGCAGCACCTGAGGCACTGTAGGATATTCCATGAAGCCATCCTATGCAGATAGGAGAGAGCTCTCCCGTTTATATAAATAAACCACCCCAACGAGTGGTGGTAGCTGTGTTGGCAGGAGAGCGTATCCCGCCGACAAAGCACTGTCCACACCGGTGCTTCTATCGGAGTAACTTATGTCGATCAGGGGTGTTTTTTTCCCCACACCATTGAGCAACATACATTTTACTGACAAAAGTGCTAGTGTAGACATAAACAACAAGGAGTCTGGTGGCACCTTAAAGACTAACAGATTTATTTGGGCATAAGCTTTCGTGAGTAAAAACCTCACTTCTTCGGATGCGAAGAAGTGAG